TTGATCAGATTTTCGTGATGCGATCATATTAATGTAATCTCCCCCAAAAGTGTATAACAAAATCGATCCTGTGAATTATATAAAATGGCGATGACCCTGTTAGTGAATCCATTTATCCGCCTTGTGCAAATAAAAAAAAACGAAAAATTAAGCCAAACATTCAAACTTACCATAATTTACATCATCAATATTAACAATCAATCGAACTCCTATATTCTGTATGAGTGGGAGTGATATAGATAGACGTAAAAATGGGTGGGAAAATTTATTTTGGGTAGATAAAGATTATGAGGGTGAGAATCTCGTAGTTAGCTATACTGATAGAAGAAATAAATTAGTTATAGATATTTTTCAAAAAAAGTGAGAGAAAAAAAATAACTTGATGCTGGGACTCGCATTAGGATCTGCGTACTCCCTCCCTCTTTGATAGCATCATATATTATTTCATTTATTCATTTTTTTTACTTAAAAATTAATAAAGCTTCGGGTTTTGTGAGATATACAAAAAATAAATATTAAGACAGTAATGCGTTTTCGCATATTTTTGATCATATTTTCTCTTGACGACTACCAAGAGATAACTTGGATATCACTAACTCATAACTTCACCGCCAATGCCTGGACCGACATGAGTTATGGCGTCTCCTAAGTATCTAAAGATACGAGGGAAGGTCCTCACCGCCAATGCCTGGACCGTCGCGAGGAACTTCAGCAAAGTTAGTAGATCAACTGCCACCGCCAATGCCTGGACCGACATGAACAGTTGTTAGTCTCAAGCAAATTCATAACTTCACCGCCAATGCCTGGACCGTCATGAAGCTATGGTGTTTCAGCACAATTGCATCAAAATTTGGGCTGATAACTCGTGAATCGTAATAGTAATGAGTCACATGATTTGTGAAACTTTAAGATTGTTACTGTAACTGAAATTGGATTTCCAAGATGCATAAGATTGTTATTGTAATCCAGTTCATAATAATAATGTGTGAAGAGAGATTTCAAGTTCCGAAAAAAAATTTAATATAAATAGAATGTCATTTTTTTTAAACTTATTTTTTTTTAAACTTATATAGATATTATGGACTCGCAACAACAGATGGTATTACAAAATTTAGATAATAAAGATTTTCTGCACTGTTTCATTGTTAACATATTAACAAGTCTGTACATCTTTAGACACGTTTCTCAATTTTGTAAAATTCCTTGAAGCGTTATTTATCATTATGAAACTTTATGAAGTGTGTAATCACGTTATTCGAATCATAGATGTATGTAGAGTAATCTTAAATGACGCCACCTGTTTCACTTAATAACATATTGATTTTTAGGAAATAACAAATATGAACGAGACGTTGAAGAGAAAAATCGATATCTTGGGGGAAAGAAATGAGAAAGACACGAGACTTTGACGGAAAGAATCACGACGGGATTTGAGCAAACAAATGCCAATTTTGCACTGCTTAACGAAAAATGGAGTTTTCTTAAAGAAAAAGTAGAATCTAAATTCGGTATATCAAAAGAGAAAGAAATACGAAAAGAATGCAACTTTTTGTCTTGATCCAAAGGATCGGTAAGACTTTGTAACAAGCAAATTTAAAAACAACTTTTTTGTGTGACCAATCATTGCGCCATAAATAAAATCGATTTAATTTGTTAAATCGATTCCAATCTTTACCAAGACATTTAATGAAGCCTTTGCATAATAAATATAGTTGGTGCTTTCGGGAAATTTATGGAAAATATGAAAGTGTAAATATGAAAATATCATTTAATAACTTTTGCAATCAAGTTAGAAAATAAATAAATTAAAAAAAGTTTTTTTTTAAATTCATAATAATCGGAAATTTTTTTATAAAAAAAATTAAATTCAGTAAGGCAAGTTGCCATTAATTCTCACAAAGACAAATATTATTGCAAATATGGATTTTGCGTAATTGTAGTCTTTGGAAAATTTGAAGGTGGAGATTTAGTTTTGAGTAAAATTGGCATAATAAAAAGTAAAGTGTGGATTTATAATTTTGCCACTTTTAAAACTTTTTAATTTAAAGGTTTTAAAAAATAGATTTTCTATAGTGTATTATTTAAAGAAAATTTTTATATTTTAAAAATCTAAGCAAATAAGAATTAAGAAATTAATAAATAACTATTAATTTAAATTTATAATGAATTTTACCATATTCCTCTAAAAATAAGCATCATTTTAATTGTTATAACGGCACTTAATTTTAGATAAATATTATATTAAGTATCAAAATCTTTTAACAATGATAACAAATTTTTTTTTGCAAGTAATACATAAGTGGAAAAGATGGGAAAGAAGTTAATTGATGTAAGTATTTATTTTATAAATCCTGATACTGGGATTAGTCTTCTAAAATCTTAATATCAAAACACTTAGGTCTCAATAAAATAACTATCTGACTTACAACTACCCTTAAACTATGCTATCCTACTTAGGATTTATTTCTAAGATAGATGTATTCTTTTAAGAGGCTTTTTGTACAGGTATTCCTAATAGCCTAAGTTCTGCAAAATTTGAATAGAGAAATCACTTATAGTCATATATAAATATTACCTTCTATATTTTAGCTAACTAATGTTACAGAATTCATGAGATAAGATCACAAGGTTTATCAAAATAGTAAACTAGCAAAATAACTATTATACTCATTTCATCAAATAACCCAGGAATCAAACTTGACCTCTAAACCTAGTAATAGCTCAATTATATTAGTCAAAATCATTTCTTTTAACACTAATACCTTTAATAAATATTCAGATAATTCAGTCATATTATTTGGCAAAAATTCAACTTGAGTTACAGTATAAAAATCAATAGTCATTTATTATATCACATATAATTTAACATTATTTTAACATTAAACCTTTAATAAATATTCAGCTGATTCAGTCATGTAGTTCAGAAAAATTCAGCTTAAGTTATAATAATTGATAGTAATTTGTTATATTACTTATAATTTAGCATTATTTTAACATTAAGAACTTTTGTTAAATATTCAGTTAATTCAGTTATGTAATTTGACAAAATTTAGCTCGAGTTATAAAAATTTATAATAATTTATTATACGACACATAATTTAGCATTATTTTAATACTAATACCTTTCAATTATACAGTCAACGACCAAAATTATGCGAACAATTTTTTTTTACCAAAATTGGGCAGATTATAATATGATCACGAGATATAAACATTACATTTTTTATTTATTTATATGATAAACATGAACATAAAATTTTTTAGCTATTTCATTTTTAATTAAAGCTTTATAAAATTATGAAGGCACTCACCCCAAAAACCCGTGATGCTATTATTTATGGTAAAAAATATGAACAATCAGGTCGCACTATTGCTAAAAATTTGGGGTGTAGTAAAACAGCTGTTTATAATATACTTAAACGCCTTCGTCAAACTGGTTCTTCCACACCAAAAAAACAAACTGGCCACCTACCACTCCTTAATATACCATCTCAACAAGAGTTTAAAGCTTTTGTTCAAGAAAATGGTGAAAATCATCAGCTTTGTGCAAAAAAACTTTCAACTGTTTGGACATCTCGTTTAAAAAACCCCATTTCTGCATTTACTATACGTCGTA